GACAATTAGTCTCTTAAATACGATGGCAAGTAAACTGTTTAGAACGTTACAGTAAATTCCAACAGGTGCAAAAAATAATAACTTTATGTAATGTAAACATTCTTGTTTAAATCTAACTTTGAATCCAAAGAAGTTAGCGGTTATTATCCTCCCTTTAGCAGTAATCTTCAAATATATTTTTATGTCAGACGAAGTCTAACCTGCATATGTACATTCTTGTTAAAAGTTTCATTCTTAATGAGGAAGATAAATAAACCTTTCCAGCAAACAAATGCCTATGTCATATGATCTTCATTATAATCAAGGTTTTTTATATTTCTCAATGAATGAAAAACAAAACGGTATTGTTTTTACTGACGTTTCGCTATTGAATGCTAATAGCTTTAAAGTATTATTAAACCAGAATTTACTAAACCGCAGCTTATATAAAACAACTTAATCATCGTTCCTCAGCATGGGGTTATTTTTCCGTTGTCAAGTTGGCCAATTGGTAAAGATAACAAAACCAGGTGTAGATTGTTGGATTCGACAAGTGTATAAAATTACAAAGGCAGCGTGTGTCTACATAATGGAATTGCTTATCACATTCGTGTTGATTTTGTCATTTCAAGGGGGAGGGGGGTGTTGTAACCAGGTCAAATTCTGTTTTAGTCCATCATTCCTATTCAGACAATTTGGATTCCATTTGATATGAAGTGCTTCTGATATCGGATGTTCTTTGTGATTTCTGGATAATTTCAATATTGTCAAAATCATTTTTGTGGCCTGATTCTATAGCGTGCAGACCCATGGCTGATGATTTTTCGAAATTTTCTAGTTCAACTGGATTTCTCCGTGGTCAAACAGATGCTCTACGGTGTTCATTTCTTCTGATTTTGATTTCTCGAGGTGTTTGTCCGATGTATATCACATCACATTCCAAGCATTTTATTTTTTAGACACATTTAGATATAGAATCTTTAGGGATTTGGTATTTTATATGGAGAACATTGCTTTGCACTGTGCGTGTCTGATTTTTTGAAGAAAACTCTGATGCTGTGCTTAATGTGTACTCTTCTGATATCGTCTGACGTCTCTGGTCTATATGGAATGACAACTGTTGAGGTCCATGTTTTCGGAATACCTTTTCGACCATATTTAATGTCAGTGTTGACTTTGTTGGTGTAGTTCTTTGGGTAGTTGTTTTGCTTGAGTCTCAATAATGTTTGATATTTCTTCTTCTTTTTCTTTCTCATCAGTAATCAAAGAGTGTGGTCATCTAAGAAGACTTGAAACAACTGATACTTTTACGCTGATGGGATGTGATAATCCGAAGTCTAAATATTTATCGTAGCGGGTTTTCTTTCTGAATATAGATATATTAAAATGTCTGTTCTCATGTGATCATATGATCTAATACATATTCTCAGAAATTTGCTTCCACACAACTATGTTTCATCTTTCTAAAAAGTTGTAGTATTCATGGGCAGATAAGAGTATGTTTCCTGTAAAACTGCACAAATTTATTCATTCAATTTCTTCATTAAAGTAGTGTTGTAATGGAGAGTTATTTTCTTAAGAAATATGACAGGAAAGAGCTGAGCCATTAGTTCACCTGAAGGTTATTAAAGTGAAATATGTATGTATTCGTTAAGAAACTTAATATTCTAGTTATCGTCTAACAAGTACCGAATAGGGGTATCACCTCTAACATCCAAGGTATGGTCAGTGTGGCTGCCCTATACCACTTTCGTCTGACTTAATAAAAGTTAAATTCAGCTATGAAGATATCAGATACAATGGAAGTTTTGTTGAGACATTCCAGGATAGTTGTAATTAATGAGAAGAGTTTTAAGTTGGATGCACGTTCTGAATTTATAAGGACACACAGAGAATACTAAGTGATAAGACGTAAAAGCTGAGGATATCGAAAGGATTAAAAGAAAGGGGTTTAGGGGTCTTTAAGAATCTACTTTTACGAAATTATACAGCAGATAAGTGCTTAGTTCACCTAAAGAACACTAATAGCCGGTTCAAGTAAACTTTATTTTCAACTGTCAGTTTAAGTGTATTTGACATAGCAAGAGTGGGGTCGTGGGTGCGTACCGACGAAGTGCCCTAAACTGGGTCTGGTTTTCAAAGGTCCTCCAAGTGATCTCAGTTGGTGATCCCACAAATTGTGTGACTGACTTTGAAGAACATTATGTTATTAAACGCCTCCTATTTGATTTTATTTAGTTCTGTGAGGCATAAGGAAGTGTATTATGGCTGATAGGGAAAATGAAGGCTCTGAGTTCGACCTTTTTGAGAATTTGTAACTGTCGACTCCCAAAACACGATAAAATAACTGGACAATATACCCTTACTTTAGATGGTCATTGACAAGTTTTTCAAGCGAACAATAAAAGTATTCAATGTAAGTCACTTCTTTATCAAAAAAATAAATAAATAAATAGATAAATAAAACGGAATTAATCCGTCGACGAAACTTTCCTTATTTATGAGGTAAATCCGAATCTGAAAACCACTTTCCAAGCCTACACTGATGCCCACCTAAACGTCAATAACACTCTAGAAACAGAATCAAACTCAAAATCCCATTTTCTTGATATTCAACACCTATGAAAGGATGATCACTCACTGAAGAGATTTATTTACAGAAATTCTGTATTGAACGTACAGTTAATTAATTTCCAAAGCTTTGTTCCTCTAAAGCAGAAAGAGGAATCTCATCCATTCACTTTCTACAAGGATCCGTGAAGAATATGTCGGAGGAACTGTTGACGCAAGACTCACAGTCTCCGAAAAATCCTGATGGAAAGTGGTTTCCAATCCACATTCATGTAGCTACTGAATCTCAAATTTGATTGTGATACTGAAGCAGAAATTCTTCGAAAACGCCTTTCAAAATCTCTCAGTGTAACTTACTTTTCTGCTAGCCTGCAAATAATATTTTCTTGCAAACTGTTGTTCGGATAGCTGTCACAATTGGGACACATCAACATGCATATATCAGTTCACTTGCCTCTGTGCACTTGAATTTATCCGCCATACCATGCATCTGCTCGTAAAACGCGCTCGGTGGCAATATCCAACCAAGCTAGCGAAGGGAGAACGGGTTTGTGTGTTTCGACAGCCATACATCTAATGAACTGAGGGCACTCGGATTCATTTCAGAAATCCTTCAAAGTTTTGTATAATCTCATAGGGAGTGTGACCAAGACATCTGGGCACGGCTGAGTTGTTAGCAAACCCAAATTTCAAGCCGACACTATGTATCCCTAAGGAATTACGTTTAACCTTTGTCTTCACCATGGCCATCATGACCAATCTATTTTCCAGAGAAAAAATTATTATTTACTTAAGTTCATCATCCGAACTTCCTGTTTATTTATTTATTTTTTTGAATCCCCATTTGTATTATGTAACTTCATCATATTATTAGCTATAATTCGACCTCGGACCGGAAATAGTTCTGGAAAATTCTCATCTTGTGTCGTGTATTCACGAATGTAAAGCCTAGTTGGTGATTTTGTAGGAAAGAAAAATGAAAACTTTCTAAACCAGTGATTAAGTGGAAAAATAGCCAGGAGAATAAGATGAGATAGAAAGTATAGGATGTAGAATAAATAATGAATTCAGAATATTTAGAAAGAAAATAGGGTGGGTATATTTCAACAATACTTTTTCTGTGTTTTCAAGATTCTGTAGCGATTGTATTGTTTTCCCCAGGTAGGGTCATTAGCCTTATAGTCAACCTTTCCTCTTCTTCCAGGCACACACCCACCAGTAAACTAGGCGTTACGAAAAACATTTCCAATAGGCTACTGCAGACTTTCATCAATAGCTGTTTTCGCTCCATACTGATGATCAGAAAGAATTAGCACTAATGAACTCCGGTAACGAATCAACCGAAAATCTGTCGCCGAAAAAAGTATGCAGAAGGAAATGGTGATGAATACGACACATGCTGAGCTGAAAAGGCTGTTAGGTGACCTCAAACATCAGACAGGCTCTAGAGGGAAACCCTAATGGGAGACGACTTTTTGGGTATGCAATCCGTGGGTGACATAGAGGAGATCGTGTGAAAACGGAATGAAAGCTTGTGGGCAGCCATGGAGCCAATTAAAAATGACTGCAGAGAACATAATGAAATGGAGATGTGTTGTTGAAGCCCTATGTTCCATTCGGAACACAAGGGAATAATAATAACCTTTTTTACTACTGTCAATAACTTGGAAAAATGTAAGTCAAGGTAAACTTGAAAGCATTGAGCCTTCTTACCACTGGGGAAGTAATCAAACTGCTCCCCCCAAACCAACAGTTAATAGTTAATCTGATGCTCACTAGTGACTGACTCTATCCAGGAAGTTACTTGGAGTTCTAGGGGGGAGGGAAGTCGTACTCAGCGGGATCCACCAAGTCAGGTAAGAAAAAAGTCACTCGCCCATGACATTGACTAATGGTTGCACTATGTATATATATCGAACTGACAGAAGTTGGAATTGATGGGCCATTGAATCGGGTCCCAGTAGCTGAATGGTCTAAGAGCTTGCCTTGTAACCGAAAGTTGCTGGGTTCGAACCCTGGAGGTGGGTGTGTACTGTCGAAGAGTCTCAAACTAGGGCGAAACAGTTGGCCAGTGCTCTCAGGTTTGCCAATCGTTCTCTAACTGATGTCAACTCATGATGACACCTGTAACCAATCAAATCCTTGCAAACCAATACTTGATAAATAATAACAAGTTAAGCTGGAATGAGTACTTTTAGACCTGTAGTCTGAATATTTATATATATATATATATATATATATATATATATATATATATATATATTAGCAAATTGTATACAGCTTAACTCAGACTGAAAAATATATTCCTGAAAATAACAGACAACTCAACCAATACCTTAGCCAGTGTGTATAGTAGTTGACTGTCATACACTAACCTTGAAAATGCATACTATCACTGACTAATCATAAAGAAAAAAAAAAGACATCTATGAGGGAAGAATAGACAAACATAATGTTACAAAGGAAATAATGATATTTTATTCCTTTTTATGCAAGTGTGTACATCATTTCAACGATATATATATATCACTTTCATGTCAATAAATGAAGCATAAACACAACGTCAATAGATGTTGGTAATATGATGTAATTCGATATTATGTGTATAGATATATGTATAACAATTTACAAAAGGAGTACAATGAACAATGAACAGAATATATGGATTAAGTAGGTATACACAAGCATAGTGATTCAAATAGAAAAAGTACCAGGTGTATATGTATATGTAAGTGGAATGTGAACAATAGGAGAGGAGAAGAAGAAAAAGAAGAAAAGCATTTCATCTTCTTTTGATTGAATTATCAGGTAAAAGTGTGTATGAACGACAACTGATTATATCAGTGCGAAAACAACACTCCTTTTTGTTTTAATTGGAATTAAAATCCTTCAACCACGTAGAAGTTCACCAATCACTTACACATACATATTATATATATATTTACAGGGGATGATATAAACTACAGGAAAAAAAAACGTAAATTATGCTCAAAGTACTAACTGAAATATTAGGTGTTAGTAAGGAAAAAGATACAGATAAGAACAGCATTTTCTTCGTTTTCCTTCGAGTTAAAAAAAAAAGAAAACAACAACTCCGAACTATATCTCCTTTGTCATCAATGCCATGAATTCTTCCAAATTAACTAAAGAATTGTAAAAAGGCAAAGAAAACAAAATAAAAACAAATTTCAAATGATTTCAATGATTATCGTGCTCAAATACCTGGTAGTTAAAACAATGCACAGATTAAATTTTCTAATAGTGGTTGGAATTGTGTTACAACTAAATTATTCGAAAGTAACTAGTCGTTTAGGCTGATCATTGCCTAAATCTATTTCAGCTTTGCGATTGAATTGTGAAGGTATCTGTGATCAGCTTAGGTAATTTAGGCAGTCAAAGATATCTTTTCGGTGATTTCATTCTCAAAAGTTGTTTGTCTTCGTTAAAAAACTATTTGACATATGATGTGACTATTTTCTAATCTTATGTAATTTCCCGGTATTTTGTTTGATTAATTGCAGCATTTCATCATAGGCTGACATCGGTTAGAGAACAACTGGGCAACCTGCAAGGAGTACTGGAGAGCTGTTTCGTCAGCCTAGTTTCAGAATCTTCAGAAGTACGCACCCACCACCACAGTTTGAACCCAGGACCTTCTAGTTATAAGGGTAGGGAGCTCGTAGACCATTAAGCCACTGGGACCCGATCCAGTGGCCAGCCCATGAATTCTAACTTCTGCCAATACATGCACGACATAGCGCGATGACTTATGTTATTTCGTTTCTATGCCCCCTGAAATTTATATTCCCGTTTCACTAAGGTGACTGGCTTGTAGGAATACTCCCTCCTTGCAGTTACTGTGACAAAGATTTCAGTCTTCAATATTGCCTGAATGTTTTAACCAAAATACATTCAACAGTTGTGAACTAAAAATAATTTATTTTTCCAATAATTTTGATTTTCTCATATGAAATTTAGAGATCAGTTAATATTTTTAAATAACGTGTGTCATGATGACAAGGGGAATTTAGTTCTAATACTCTATACTACTCATTAACAGATATGAGTAGTTGAAAGTCACTTACTTTAAGAAGTACTGCTGCCTAGCCAGATAAAAGTGATTTAAGCACAGGACAAAAGTTTTACTTTCTTGGAGCGAAATTCAATGGTGGTGGTGCAACCAGACCTACTGAGCTTAGGTTAGCTACCTGAGTGAACCACTAACAAACATAACCAAATTCACCTGCGAATTACGCAATTCAAGGTAAGGAATCACTGTGCCAAGATTATGCAGAACACAATATGAGATCTTTCTGACACCACATAAAAGGCAATCAAGAAAGTGAGCACTATTGTTTGAAATGAGAGGCTTTCAACCATTCATATTAGCCAATTAGAGTAGTACATTGTATAGCGCTCGCTTTCTTAATTTGCAATTTATATGGTATCAGGAAGATTGCATACATTGTGATCTAAATATTTCTGATTTCTAAAAGAAACCACTCTGATTTCTCTCACTTTGAACTTGTAATTTAAAAATAAGGAATTTGATATAGTAGATAAACTTTTTCAATTTAGAAATCTTCAATACACTGACGCATTTGAGAATGTTTTTTTATAGATTTTCTTTCTTTCTTATTACAGAAAAGTATAAAAAGACGAAAGCAATTGAAAGATAAATCTTTATGTATATGCCTTATATTCCCCTGATATTCTGAGTGGAAGAACACAGGGTTGCAAGCCTTGAGCTTTGAAGTTTTATTGGCCTTGGTGTTTATTGTTTACATTATAGTGGGGTTGATAGTCCCACACACAACATTCCATCTTCATCATGCTTACTACTTATTGTCTAAGCAAGATTAAGGAATTCATCGGTTGGGAAATCAAACTCGAGCCACTTTCAGAGTGGCTGACAAGCATGTATGCCTTATTAGCATAAGAGATTAACGGGTTTTTTTTCAAATATGGCGGTTATTTACTATTAGAGCGGAAAAAAAGTACAGAAAGTAAGAAAGAAATCCATTCACTGCAGGTAACCCGCCAATAGTATTAACTTGTTTACAATGAAAAACAAAATAAGGGAAAAACACGGTAAATCAAATAACAAGAGAAAAGAAGAAGGAAATAACAGGATGATAATAATAATATCATTTATAAATAATATACGCATATACTTACGAAAACAGAGCATACAGACGTAAGAAAGCGACGCAGACAAGTACACACACAGGAAAAAGTGTAGGTGTATAATACAGGTAGATAGATAGGTAGGTGGGTGGAGGTAGTTGGACTGATTCATCACCTAGAGTAAACAAGCCAACAAGTGTACTACTAATGGTAAAAAGGCATACATAAAGAGATAGATAGATAGATGGATAAATAGATGGGTAGGTAGGCCTAATAGGTAGATATTAAAGGGAGTAAACAAAATAGCCAAAAATGAAAGGATAACTGTGATGCATATGCTCGTGAATAGTCAGTCAGTCAGTCATTTAGTGAAAAGTAATAAAAAATGCATATGGAACGACGTTAGATAGATATGTTGCTGTTAGTGACAACAATGACAAATAATTAGAATAATTAGTAGTATATAATGAATAATAACAATTATTACCATGTATAGATAAAAGGCGCAGATATACTATATATATATATATGTGTATACATAGTTGGATACTAATATTTCCGACTCGTTATGAATAAATGTACCTATTTACTTAGAATGTACACTAATGCAAAAAAGACATGAAAATGTTGTAGTGTATTCACTTGGAGAATAATAATAATAAGTGAATAAAGATAGCATTGTTAAATGACAGAAAAAACGATACATCTTATGTACAATGGGACAATATAATTATTACAGTTGCATTTCCCATGGTTTCTCTACATAGGAAACAACTGAGAGGACAGATTAGGTGTGCGTGTGTGTGTTTACAACATCCTATAGTCGTCCATAACGTTTCCAAGCTTTTAGTATGCATAAATCAAACTTTGATGCTAGCTAATAAAAATGTACATGAAATGCGAAAATGTAGAAAATATAAGTGTTCGACTACAAAGTATGTGAGTATGGGGTAGTGTTCAGCTGAATACATGAGAGAAAAATTTCAGGATAGTCAAACCAAGTCAGTGACGTCAGTATCCATGATGTCAGTGACTGTTAATTTGAGTCACATAGAGAGTTATAAACTGCCTGATTGGAGTCCTCAAGACTCTAAGGGTCAATGACTGGAGGCGATTGGTGATATTAATCGAAGTTATTCTCAATAGCGTGGATGCATTCACACTTCATGATCTCCTAGATCCATTGAGACCTCCTTTATTTATTTATTTTTCATTCCTTTGAGTCCTGAATGGGACATAGGGATGGGGGCTTCAGACTTGAAGCATTTAAATTTCAGTACCAGTGGTGTTGACTTCACGGGGTGGAGTCGCTAACCTCACAATCAATCTGATTAGTAAACTAAGTGAGGTTTATGAGCGCACCGACCTGGAATCCAACCGCGGATCATGTGCATAGTTGGCGGGCATTCTATCACTAAATCCATCGACGCACAAATCTTATATTTCACTGAATGTTTTCCTTCAGTTCAGTTCAAGATACATTAGAGAGCTGTTACAAATTTATGCTTTCCCCTTAAACCACTCAAATAGTGAAAATTAAGACAGTATGCCTTATGTCTAGACTGTAGGAAATCATTCGTTTTAACAATAATCATAGAGAAAAAAAGAGAAACTGAAGTTATGATTTACACATAACAATGATGAAAAGATTGTTTGTATTCTCAAGCCTACTGATATCGTAATGATATATTGGTTTAAAGTGATGTAACAAGTGAAAGTATGCAGGAAAACAGCACATAAAAACAACAACAACAACAATAACAGAAAAACTGACAGAAGACAGTAAATTGAAAAGCTTTCATCGTCGTTTGAGACATTCCCAGGGATAACTTCACTGTGAAGTGAATTTTCAGAATTCTTTGTGGATGAAATACCCGTGCTTTCTGGTGACCATGACAATGAAGACACAACAACATTGAGTACATCTCCATCTGGCTTACAAATCTTCTCTATCATTTCCAGACAGTTGATGAAAGGTTTTCATCAACAAGGAGATGTTTCTCCACCACTACCACCACCACCACTAATTGCAAGTCATGTTACTTAAAATGGCTAATTTCAGGTTCCTTTGGAACGGAGAGTTGTTTATTTGGCGGATGATATACAGTAATGCCAAAATACAGAAACCTTACATGTTCTGTGTATTGGGCTTCTTTTGTCGTCCTTTTAGGCTGTTTTATTTCCCCTCTTAGTCATTCAATCCATCCCTCTGTTATTCAGTATTCTTGAGGACGACGATATCATGCACACAGAATACTACTTACAAAATCTTGCCAGAAGCACCCTCAACCCACACAGCTATAGGCAAAGTTAATGTATCATAGTCAAAATCAAGGTCTTTCAAAAGTTGACCTCCAAGAACCTATCAGATACAGGGAATGCTATTAAATGTCATTCCGAATCAAATAATGTCTGCCCTTTTGAAATTGGATAGGGTAGATACAGTATTCTACTTATTTACTAGGTACTTTTTCTGCAAATCTATGCTGTTAGGTAAGGTTATGGCTTATAAAAAAATGGAGGATCTGGACTTCGCCGATGATATATGTCTGATTTCTCACAAACTGGAAGATATGCAAGTGAAAAGCAACAACTTGGCAGAAGAAGCATCCATAGAAGATAGGACTTCAGGTGAACATAGAGAAAACGGAGGTGATGAAGATTCCCGGCCAACAGAAACAACAACAGACAACGATCAGCAGAAATGGGAGAAATTTGAAAGAAAAAACCTCCTTTACCTATCTACCTACCTACCTGGGAAGCAGGTAGGACGGGAACTGGTGAGGATATCAAAGCATGGATAGGGAAAGCAAGACAAGCTTTCATTTCTTTCAAGTCTGTGTGGAGGTCAACAGCACTCAATATGAAAAATAAGATCCGGATTTTCAACTCCAATGGGAAGTCAGTGCTATCATACGGATCAGAGACTTGGTACGTCATGAAGAGCACTTCGAACAAACTATAAACCTTCATCAACAGCTGTCTTCGCTCAACACTCAAGATAAGATGGCCGGACAGAAAATATCAGCAACAGTGGGAGATCTCTGGGAGCGAACCAACCCAGCAGGGACCGATTGTGCAACAAGTCTGCAGGAAGAAATGGAGGTGGATTGGCCATACTCCGAGGAAACCATCAAGTGACGTCACTAGACAGGCCATCGCTCGAGTGGAACCCGAATGGGAAGCGGCGAGTTGGTCGTCAGTGCGAGGGTGACTTGGAGGAGGTGATGTGAAGAGGAGATGAAAGCATGTGGGCAGACGCGGAGTTAGATGGAAACGTTGGCAGAGAACCGAACGCAATGGAGACGCATGGCTGAAGCCCTATGTTCCTCTAGGAACTAAAGGAAACAATAATAATAATGGCTTATAAGATTAAGGTTTAGGGTTTAAGGTCAGGGTTAGTTAGGATTATGGTTAGAGTAAGAGTAGGTTCAAGAATAGTGTCAGAAATATCAATGGGTCTCAAAGTACCATGATCTACAGTCACCTGAATGAATGGGTTTATAGCGCACAGTACAATTTCTCTATAGATCATCTATGTATTGACTGGGAGACATTCTTAAAACTCATAAGCTACAACTATACAGTGTAATATCAAGTTTGCAATATTTTTTAGTGTATTTATCAACGATTATGAGACTTTTTTACATCTGAATTCTGATTGGTTGTTCAAGGTCACTATGGTTTCGGCTATGATAGTTCAACTTTGCCCACCTATATTTTCATGAAACTAACACCTAGAACAATATGAAGCAAGTCAGACCATAAACTAACAGTTCCAATGACTCTAAGTCTGGTAGTTTAGCTCAGTCACAATCTTTTATCTCATATTCGCTTGGAGAGAAAAATTACATATTAACGTGAGAAAAGAAAGCTATTCAGTACTAGCTGTGAAAATAAGTAAGTGGTAACAGCAGGTTGAAGATGAGGCAGTAACTCATCGAAGAAGACATTGAGAGATGGTCGCGTTATGTTGTGGATTGGCAGAAGTTAGAATTCAAGGACCATTGGATCGGATCCTGGTGGTTCAATAGTCTACGAGCTCGCCTTGTAACCAGAAGGTCCTGGGTTCGAATCCCGCCGGGTGCGTACTGCTGAAGGGTCCCAAACTAGGATGAAACAGCAACTGTCCAGTACTCCCAGGTGGTTTTCCAGTGGTTCTCTAACTGATGTCAGCTCATGATGAAATCCTCCATGCAACTTACTGAAATAATAAATCGCTCTTAAAACTTACGTGCACCATCTCCGTCTCGATCGAATTCTTCTATCATAGCACGAAGTTCTTGATCGGATAAATTTTCTCCAAGTTCCCTATGGATAAGACACATGAAGAGAGAAAGAAAAAAGAAGTAATATTCAAATGTTACGAAAATTATTGAATACTCAGAGGTAAAAGGTATGAAAAACGCTCAACATTTGTCAAAAATGTTTAAAACAGGATTACTAGTGCGGTGTGGTCGGTTAATATAACACTGTGTGTGTGTGCGTGTGTATGTGTTTTTTCTCTCCCAAGTTTATGCAATAGGATGTGATAAGTCTGACAATGTTTCCTAAAACTGGGTCTGCATAAAACTATCTTCTTTTAATGTTTATGATTGAGACAGACAACATTTTAGACACAAAAAAATATTGTCAATATTGATTCCACCAGCCAGACAAAAACAAACTGGAGTGAATCACTATCGATTAACGTATATATATATATATATATATATATATATATAGGTTCTATGTGGGATAGGAATAAATTTTAGTGGATGATAAACTTATAAGTTGATTGACTGAATACAAGTCAAATATGGTAATGTACCCATATATAGGTTAGAAGTGATATGACACTCAAAAATATGAAGACATATAAAGAAGAACCATATCTATAGGGCAAGACAGGAAGTGAGAAGACAAAAGAAGATGCATAGAATTAGAATAGTATGATAAAAGGACTTAGCATATCATAAGCTTCGATAATGAGTTAGCAGGCTAGTGTAATGAAGCGGAAAGAATACTTGTTGAGCAATAGGTTCTTGGTTGATTCGTTACAAGAGGTTTTTTTTTGTTTCTAATTCTTTCTGCCAATATGAAATTCAATATAGAGCAAGAGAAGGCAGCTCTTGATAAAATAATCTACAGCCTCTTGGAAATGCTTTACGTGATGCACGCGCCAAGTTTCTGACTCCCATATAGAAGGACTGGCTTAACATTGATATTGGAAATCCAAATCTTGTTCCTTATGCTGAGTGAAGAGGAGTTCCTTAACTGATTCCAGAGTGATGAAGATCTGCCTTGCCTTTACGACCATGGCTGGCTTCAACATCCTCACACTGTCGACTGTAGTTGAAAGGATGCTGACTAGATAAGTGGTGGTGGTGGTTATCTTTATCACTTCCATCTTCTCTCTTCTTTTCACTTGAAGTCTTGTCTTCTCTGCTTCTTCAGCCAACTTGTTGGTTTTCACCTGTATAGTTTCGAGTTTGCGTGAGATTAAACATAAACCATCCGCGAAATCCAGATCTTCTAAACCCTTCTTATCGGTCTAGACTATCTCTGTCTTCTCGCTACTCACAGTTTTCCACATAATCCAGTCCACCACAATTAGGAATATCATCGGTAGTAGTAGTAGTAGTCAGCCTTGTCTGACTAATGTCTTTACATCAAAGGCTTTACTGAGTTTTCCGTTGTGGATCACCCGATACGTGCCATTGTCATATAGCTGTTGAATGAGGTTGATAAAGACTTAAGGCACACCGTAGTGGGTTGAAGTAGTCTTCAAATTATCCCGTGGTCAACGCTCTCAAAGGCCTTTTCGAAGTTGATGAAATTGAGGTAGATATTTGACTACCATTCTATGCTCTTTTCGATGATGATGATGCGTATAGTTGCAATTTGATCAGTACATGATTTACCTTTCTTGAATCCAGTATGTTCTGGTCGGTGGAGTTCTGCACATCCAGTGCATCTTTTATTCTCTACAAGGTGACACGACTTAGTATTTTACTTGGCGTGGACAAGAGCATTATTCCACACCAGTTCCTGCAGAGGCCTACTAACTAGGTCGTCCTTCTTTGGTAGTTTAATGAGTTAACCTTTCTTGAACTGGTATAGAGAAACTGATAATTTCCAGTTGTGACATTGGAGAACTATATGTAAATTCAATTAAAATGCACCGTTGAAACTGGTTTTTAAGTCACGCTTAGATTCCAAACACTGGTGAACACTAATGTTGATCAGTATACACTGATTTAGATAAAATGAACCAGTGGTTGGTGGTGATTTGTTAGACAATCCACTCACTCACTCACTCTTGCTCTATTCTCGATTGACACTGCAGTTTCCCTGTGATCAAGTAAAAATGTCAATAGGCTGTGTCAAATACCATTACGTTACATAACAAGTCTCGTAATTTTAAAGAATGATTAGCCAAGTAGTCGATTAGAAGTTTAGTTTTTTTGAAAATACGGTGAAACTTTGTCCCAGCTTCAATCTACTGAAAGGATAAACTTCACAATCATGTAATGCGCACATTCAATATGATTGGTGGTAATTACATGATAAAGGTATTATGCATTCCAAGAAAACGTTTTTATTCATTTTATACGTCAAGAGACAGTAAAAATCGGACAGTGGTAATACATTTAAAAGGGTGAACAAATCTGAATTATTTTGCTTTACGCAACACACTACTAACAAGTAGTTACAAAAATGCCGAATGTATTTCACGTCAACATAAATATGAAACCATTTTCAACCAATATAGAGCGAACGCTGTTTTTAGAAATAATTGTTACCCTGATAATAACCATATGATAGATAGATTACAAACACGAAAATTTATTGAAAATATTAGTCAGTAAACGACATATGTGACTGTGATACATTGCTACAAAGGGCCAATCACAATAAATCAAAATATCTTGAAGAATACATGTAGGCTGTTTAACAGTTTTAATGCAAGCAAGTGAATGCAGATTTTATGGATCTCAAAATGATTCACACAGTACTTTGTCAAAACACCTAAAGGAAATATGATAACTATTGTTTAATCATGCTTGTGATTTCTCATTGATATATCTGGGGGCATTGATCAGCTTCATTTGGATATATGACCTCCTTGAACAGATGCCTCGATATAACCACGATTAAGAAGTTAGAACTACTTGTCTGGTGGTGGCTAGCAATAGAATCCTAGGCGCATGTTTCGTTCTACACACTAAAACGAAGCTGATCAGTGTAATCAGATACATCAATGGGAAATCACAAGCAAGATTAAGTAGTTTCAAATCATATCTGTTACAAGAGATGTGGATCAATGGGTGATGCTTTGGCGTTTGAAAGCGTTGTTAGTGGGTTCAAGTCTCCCCACCACTCACCGGGGGAAAATACATCCAGCTGATGATCATCAAATAGGACAAAAGCCAGGGTCCTAAATCCTACTACTAGTCACCAGTGAACAGTAATAAGAAGAGCTATGCCATGACCTATAAATATTCATAATGTCTGATATAAAGAAAAGACTTATAACTTAGGATAATGATGGGCACCGTTTAATATTCTTCCCTCTGTGGCATTTGTTCGTGGAGGTTTTAATCAATAGGCTTGATGACATCTTCAGCAATAACTTCGTTAAAAGATGAGGCATATTTGCGAGTAGCATGAAATATTTAGCCATTCCTCTCCCTTATTTTGAAGCTCTTTTCCTGGACCGCTACCGGATAGCAAACTAGGCGACGGAGAGGAGTGTGCCAACCAGGAGTCGAACCCAAACTACATGTGTCGTTGGCAAGCATATTATAATTGGACCATTGACGCACATGCGTAGTCCAGTTGTAATTGAGGGAAGAGATTTCTGTTACGTAACCTCTTAACATCAATAAACATTCTAAAAATGAAAGAATATCAGGTTGTTATATACAACTATAAAGTTTCCTACTTTCCTTGATTTTTTCCATCGATAAAAAGCGCCTATAGATAATCAAGTTAGATAATGGTAGTAAGTTATTGTAAAAGAGGTATACAAATATAAAGAAAACGTGTGTTGTATAGCGTCATTTTTTCTCGACCTGAATGTGAAAAAAGAAATATTAAAGTGTACCTCTTTTTTGTTTTCTAATTATTTTTGTTTGTGAGACTTTTAAGGAATACTCAAACTTATTTACATACAATAAACTTTATCTTTTTAAAGTACATAGAGGTAGTTATCATTTACAGACTCCAAGATATCAATATCTAAAAAGGTTTATTTTTCACTTCATTAGGACACTGAACTGCACTTGTTAGATAATAGTAAACATGATACAATATGGGCACCAAAAGATGTGCCACACACGCAACAAAAATAAAATAAAGCAACATATAAGGAGAATAGGGAGAGGGCAAATTACGGACAACATCCAGAAAGCAAGTAAGCAAGCATACTTGTCCATATCATTCAAAGGATGGTTCATTCCTGTAGTATGTTCGACACTGAATACCATTCGAACTATATCTGATAACGTCTCAAGCTACTGACTCAAATTACCTATTGGACCCCGCCCAGAATGTTGCAGCGCGCTAATACTACTAATCCCACAGCACCATGTCATAGGCTGACCACCCAGTCTCAGAGCTAGCGAACAGTGAGCAGTATGGGAGCCTCTGGGATGACATCCGTAGCTACCAAACCTTTTATTCCAAGATGACAACACTTAATGAATGACAATCTCCACTATTTACAAACACACGCCACCACTGAATTACTTAAATGATGATTCCAGTGGATGTTGGCAATTCCACGAAGGCAGTGATGATCTAATACTCAGAGTCACCACACATCCTCAGCTCAGAGAGGCCACGCGTTTGACAGACGTAAAGCAAGACTGTGTGTGCACCGAAGCATTTGTAAATCTGACGTTTGAAAGTAAGGCTGACGCCACGATGGCGCCAGCAAGAAACGATCATTGGTAGATTCATAAATGCTTAAACAGTTACCAGTGAAGAAAATTTTTATTACATCATTTTCCACTGACACAATGTATCTTAAAGACTTATCAGCTTACTGAACAAAATAACTCTTTTTAGGAATTAATTTATAGAAATTATTAAACCTACAAATGGAAAATAGAGTATTAAGTAATATATTTGTTGGTGTAATCTACTTCGAGATGTTTTTGATTGGACACTAGTCAGTAACTAGTGTAATATGTCTAGTCCTATCTTCATTGCAGACGGAATTCTATCAGTCAAGCTTGCAATGTGGTCACATCTCTGACTGCAGCACTGGGTGACGCGGGTTCGAATCTCAGAAGGTACATGAGTCTTTTCGAGGTTGCAGATACGCCTTGCTGACTGGTGTGAGTGCCACCTCCTAGCACGGAACCTAGGTCCAAGGCTTCCTGTCGCCGATTGCCTACAACCATCTAATACCAACTTCCAGATGTATTCTCATTGACTTCGACTTCCTTTTGGTCTGAGGGTTATCCCGCTGCTTATGAACTCCAACCGATATAAACATGTTGAAATAAACAACTTCTCGAAGTATATAAGATATATTATCTAGTAATTTAGGCTTACAAACAATACTTGTTGAAGATGATTCAAAGAGAGAGAGAGAGAGAGGGAGATGAATGATGAGCTGGAGACAATTAAAATCATATCAAGAATATAATTAAATCTTATTACTAATGAACTTTACCTAAAACATACAGGCAAGAGATTTAGTAACTAAGGTCTTATCTCTTAATGTCACAGAACGTGAACAAGTAACAAGTTTGTTTATTTCATAACTGTTTTGTCTCACATAACAGTGCTATGGTAACACTGTACATAACATGTCTGAAACTTATCTCAGAGAGAGAACGTTTGGTGTCCAACTTTCCTAAAGTGCATAAAATCTACTATTTTCTTATCTGTCTTCAAATGTTAAAAATGTATTTCAATTGTCAAACATATAAACTATAAGAGGTCGGTTTAACACAGTTGTTATACCAATATGATTCATCATTTGTTTTCAATTTTATGAAGAAAAAAAACAACAACATCACAACTACTTTCATTGTTTTCGATGGGAGTTTAGCTAACTTGATTTTCAATGAATTTTCCTCTCCTCAGTGTGATGTAATGCAACCGCTAATCGGTTTGGTTATTTATCAAACACACTTCACTTGTCTATGATTTTATTCCTATGAAATGTTACTTCGGTTTATAAAAGGTTTAAGGCTTATCACTTTTCTGCATTTGAAAGAGGTGCGCTTAAGCACGACAACAAGCTATGCAACATCACAGGAAGAATTTCAATGTGGATTTAGTCATAAATAAACATCAGTTAGAGATCCCTGAAGACAAGGGGGCACTAGATGGCTGTTTCGTCCCAGTCTGGGACTCTTCGGCAGTAAGCACCTGCGAACCCGCCAGGAATCGAACTCAGGACCTTTAGATTACGCCGGCAAGCTGGTTGACCATTCAGCCACTTAGGCTGGAATTGAATGACCCGTGAACTGTAACTCTGTCAATTCGTGATATAGGGCTATCCTCAACCAATGCCTTCACGGAAGGAAACAATTATTATTCAGGAAATCAAAAGTCACGGAATATACACATTTGATCATAGGGAATAATGAAAAGACGGCTGCAGTGAAGAAAATTTTCTTTTCGACGAAGTCATCAAATAGGCTGTACATTCGTGTATTTATAGTAAATGGGTGAGAAGGTTCCATAAATAGTTCTGCAACTAAAGTCAAATTAGTCAGTTCTTCTATATTGTTCACAGAATTGGTGCATGCGACACGAAAAGTATTTCCAAAAGGCTGCAGACTTTCATCAACAGCTGCTTGTCCTCTCTCAATAGTGAACATCAGGTGGACAGAGAGGATAAGCAGTAAGGAACTCTAGTAGATAACGAACCAACCAAGAACCTGTCGCCCAACAAATATGGATAAGGAAGTGGAGATGGCTTAAATACACGCTGAGGAGATCGTTAAATAACATCACGTTCTAGGCTCTAGAATGGGAATCGAATAGGAAACGACAAGTGGGGCGTGGGCCCAAGAGTGATATGGAGGAGGTCGTGTGAAGAGCAGATCAAAGCTTATGCACAATCATGGAGATACCTAAAGAAGACTACAGAGAACAAAGTGAAATAAAGATGTGTTGTGTAAGCCCTATGTTCCATTCTGAACCGAAGAGAATAGTAATAATAATAATTGCTTCTAAATAATAGATAGGACTATGACTATAACAAGTTAAACAAGCGAAACTTAATGAAATGCTATTTAACAATTAGTAGCTAATTATATATATTTTATGATCATAATGTATTGATAATTATATACAAATATAATGGGAAAATTAGTAATTTCTTTCGGATACATTAACATTTTCGGCCCTTTTTCTACTTGTACAACAAATTAAACAAAAATAATTCATTTATTGTTAACAAATCGGATAACAAATGAAGTAAAACAACAAGCTCTTATCGAAATACGACTAAATTTTAGACAAACAGTTTAGTAGGGATGTGTTTGTGCTGATAAAGCGATATTTTATATATACAAAATTTGAGTACATATACTTCTAACTACTTATAAGTAGTACGATTCTGATGAAAACATTTTAGAGAAATACAAGGGCAATGGTGAAATTGCACAGAAAATCAGACTACTTCACATACAACTTGTTCAAGAAATGAAATTCACTCATCATCAGGCAAGTGACTGTGACACACATATTCTAACATTTCGCCTGATAAATACAACGGTAAAGTGAGAAAGAGAATTTTTAATATACTAGGCTATATTATAAAGTACACAATATTGTATTATTTATTGATACTGTTTCGAAAACAACTTATTGCTATTAAACATGATGGCATATATATATATATATAAGAGGAAGTTTGAAAGAATACAATGATTGAATCATGGATATTCATTTTGACCATAGAACCTCCTGTATGTGACTGAAACTGAAGAAATCATTGAAATGGTGGTTGTAAATTATATGGAAATGGGAATGTCATTATTCTTGAATATTTTTTAGAGAAGACAGCTTGCAGTGAGCAACATTCCAGCCATTCTCGCCTTAAAGACTACCAATATAAATTAGAGAGTATCTGAGATTACAAGGTATTCTACTGAATCCTGTATTCTATGGGTTCATTTATAACTTATTTAAAGGTCTAGGAATATAACTAAAGTGTGTGGGCGGGAGGGAATTCTATGACAAACTCTATTATCACTTTTGCTGATCTTTTATTTGCTTCTGTTTTATGAAACAGTAGTCAGTGTTAGAAGAAGTCATTGATTTTGTACCAGTAATAATAATTATAATAATATGAAAAAAGCAACAAGAGAAAACAAGACGACAATTTACCTGGAAATCTTCTTTAAATTACGATAAGTAATTTTCCCAGTATCATCTTCATCGAATAATTTAAAGGCACGAACCAATTCTGTGACAGGATCTCTATCCAAAATCATATCTGTTACTAAAAATTTAAAAGAAACGAAAGGGTAATATGCGAAATTCAAACCCAAAATTACTTTTCCATAGTAGTTCATTTATTTACTAAATATATTACATAGAGGAAATTAAAACAGAATTTGTTGGAGGATTTCATCATGAGCTGACATCATCTACGAGCTCGCCTTGTAACCAGAAGGTCCTGGGTTCGAACCCTGGCGGTGGATGCGTACTGGTGAAGAGTCCCGATGAGCTAGGACAAAACAGCTGTCCAGTTCTCCTTGCAGGTTTTCCAATTGTTCTTTAACCGATGTCAGCTCATGATGAGATCCTCCAACCAATCAAACAAAAATTCCCTACAAAACCTATACTTGGAAACGGAATTTATTCCCTAATTATGACCTGATTCTGGACAATAAACGGAGTTCAAAACGTCATTTAGTAAATGATACAGTTTCGTTATGTGATTTACCTAATATACAATTACAAACTATCCTGGTGGCCAAGTTTTACTAACTAGCTTACTACTTTACTTAACATTACAACTGCTACTTAGGTAGTCATTTTTGTTAAAAGCATTCAACTTGGAAGCAATGACATTTTGATGTATATATTACTATCCAATCAAATGAAGTAATTGGCATTAATTTACCAACTAAGGCTGACTAAATACAGAAGAATAGCATATGTTCATAGCATTTAGTGATATTACTTCGAATCATTTTCCAAGTGAAAACCTCCTCAAGGCTGGTAATAAGCAGTGCTGGGACGTACTGACAAGACAACGGACGGTAAACGCATATGGTATAAAGTTGTGAAAATGCATTATTAAAAAGACAATTCTCAGTGATAACGTCTCTGAATGCAGCACTGGATGACACGGGTTCGAATCTCAGAAGGGACACGATTTCCTCCAAGAATGCAGACACCCCTTTCTGATTGGTGATTGTCAAGAAGCACGAAACCTAGGTTCAAGACTTCCTACCGATTGCCTCCAACTGTCCAATAAAAACACTTCAGAGTACACTTTGATGGCGAGTCACCTAGCATGGTGGCCACGCTGCAAACTTTCCACTGATAGGATTCAATCCGCGCCAAACGAAAGACTAGACGCATGACACTAATTACTAGCCAGTGTCCAATCTTTTCAAGCCTATAATAATAATAATACCATTATGGGTAAAATTTGTTTTGATAATCTCACAATGTTATACAATAATGTTTACTGATGACGTTTCGAGCACAATTTATTGCTCATAATCATAATCATTGTGAGACTATCAAAACAAATTTTACCCATAATGGAATCATACTCTACCACAGTGCACAAGTTTTATTCTTATATCTATAATAATGATAATAATAATCATTCAAAACTAAAGAATATGATTCTTTTATTTAGTGGTCAAAAAGAGGCTAATTTCTGATTGAATCTAAAATAAATTTTCTAGGTTAAATTCACAATGCTTTTCTTGATGTGTAAACACATTTATTCAGAACTTTATTTGCAGTTTAGTACAGACGAATTAGGACCATGAAAGAAGTAGTTGAACGAACGTTTTCGCAGATGCAGTTAAAACCTATGCGTTATAATGTAACTTCTGTGCCCAAGAAATGCTACCTATTAATCTTGAATTCAAAGGTGACTCAGTTGCTGACATCCCTAAAAGGAGGATCTCATAGTCCCTTGAAAAGGACCTTCGTTGTAGCGTCCCTAAGAATAGTGTTTTCTAGTCAACCATCACTGCTAAATAACCTGAAGGACAAGATTCCGCAGCTGACGAAGTCTGTGTGTGTGTCTACCAATTCACCTTCTCCTATGGAGCTAGCTAACGTGGTCTTCCAATGCCAGTTTTATCCAAAAAGCCACAAGAACGCTCTCCTTCATGGTTACGATTTGATGGAAGTAGGATTATAAGGTGCTGAATAACTGACCATCTGGTTGATACTGGTCACCTTATCTCTACAGCGTCGGTGGCACAGTGGTTAGGACTCTCGCCGACCATGCATATGGTCCGGGTTTCGATTCCCTGCCGACGCACACTCGATATCAATGGTCGGCCTGCAAAATTGGGCTACCGATATCCACGCTGAAAATTCCATGCTTGTACCAAAAATACGGTGTGGCATCAAGCTGTAATCAAAAATATAAAAAAATAAAGTAATCTGTAAGGTGAAAAATAACTTGCCAAAGTTTTACTTGACCAATTCAGGTAATACTTCCGTTGGTAAACCAGCTGTCAACCAGTGAACATCTTCACAATGTTATTGTCACCAAAAACTATTTCTGTATATGACTAAATAATAATACAGAATTGTTGTAACTCATCTACTCTGTACTGATCTATGACTCATACCTCTTGTGGGAGAGTTTATGATAATATCTGACGGTGTAGGAGAAGGTAGGTGGATACGGCTGTAACCTTAAGACCAATTAGTTGAAAGCCAATTTCATAATCAACTTGGCCAAAATCCTGTCAAAAACTTTTTAATTGACGAATAATCCTCATCCAGACAATAATGAAAACAAAACAAGTAGTTCAGCGAAAAGACCCTTCCCGGTGAATTCATTTTCCTTAGCTATACAATCCACATCTATAAATTTTTGACACCAATATTATATATCCTGATTAATTTGTCAAATTAGTGGACTAGACAATCTTTCTACCGTACATTTGAGAAATAATATCTTTAGAAACAATATAGATCATAGATGAAGTTTTAAATTAGTGATTTTTTTTACACTCAATTCAGAAATCTAGCAGTGGGTAAGTTTTTTGAAAGAAGTCATTCTCACCTATTTCATTAAAATCTTCAAATCGAAGTTTTCCAGAATCTTCCTTGATATTATAATCTTCTAAAGTTTTCAATACCTCTTGCTTTTTCAATTCGAACCCAAGTGCTCGAAGTGCAACCTATACATATAAAGGATTAATTGTTAGAATTAAATTTATATTTACCTTGAATTCATAATAACTGATCTCCTGATCTTTATCTGTATCAAAAAGATCGAAAGCCTCAACAATTTCCTGTTTTTGTTCTGGAGTAAGTTCTCTTCGTTTACGACGTCGAATGTTATCTGGAATACCTATAGAAAATAAAAATAACAGCAATTAATTGTATTTACGAAACATGGTATCTGTGTTGAGTAGAATCGACAGAATGATGTGTTATGACAATAGTTTCACTGAAAAGAAGAGAAAACAGTTGCAAACTCTTTGAGTAGAAATCTAAATTCTGATCTTTGTTACGAAGCTCTAGGTATTGAAGAGTACAGACACTTGGATTTTGTTGCTGCAGTTTGACTTCAGTGTCTTCACTTTAAGCCTGATATCTCAGATTCAATCATATGCACAGGCCAATGGTATGAATTACTAATTCTAAAAGTAGGACGATATAATTGTTTACTGATAGCATTTGGAGCACAATTTATTCCTTATATCAAAGTACCCACATAACTTCCTGATATAGTTTGCATAATAATATTTTTTATCCATTGATTCTGTTGGTAGACAAATTTACCATATTTCCAGAATTGGTGTTGGGTTATTGCTATTGCATGTTTTTGGGATTATAAGTTTAGAAAATAAGTACCATGATGCGTTTATGAGAAATAAATTGCGATTAAAATGCCATGAGTAAATAAATAATTCTGTGTCACCGTGTGCTATGTCAAATAAAATTATCCTATCTTGAAATTGGGTTTTAGTTTAATTACAGTTGTTCTGATCTTCGAAAATGTAGTTCTTCAAGCAATAAGCACAGAAATTACTTTGACGAATTTAGTATTTAAATTTCTACAATTACTAGTCATACGCCGCCTAACTGAAGCTAGGAAACAGCAAGGTGGTTAGAAAAAGACACATTTCAAATCTGAAACTGGGTATTTTAACTAGTTACTTCCACTTTCTTAGATCTTGGAACACAAGAAAGTTTACCGGTGCCCAACACTACCTGCTTTTTATCTGAAGGCAGCACTTGACTCCGTAAGGTACACCTCATCAATGAGAGCAATATAATCAGAAACTTGTTACACCATGTGGGGAGCTATCTTGAACGATATCTACATCTGTTTGCATCCATCGATGATGTTGACTCCCTACATTTCTAGTGAACCCTATAATGTATATCCGCTCATAAATAGCTTCAAGTCATCTGAATTCACAAAGAAGGATCTTCTAGCAGACCACAAAGTCATACTGGAAGATGTTGACTATAAAGTCTTTTGAAATATTTAAGTAGTCTCGGAATGTTAGAAGTGCGTCCCTATCCCTACAAGTGAAAAAGCTACTTCGAAGCATTAAGACTTAGTTTGATGAAACGCCGATGTACACATCGTAGATTTGTGTGGTTTTTTTAATCGTGCAGGTCAGAGGATATGGAAGGACTTTAAATATTTGACTCATACCGTCCTAGTATTGCCTACGATAGATGGAATCACCATGTGGACAATGTCAACATTTTTGGTAAGATAGTCTAGGGAGTTACAAACTTCCATCGCATGAGGAGGTTGGGTCATTTATCCCACTTGCTGTATCACTACCTAACTTGATGAGCTATATTACCAGGATTAGGAACAAACTATAAGATAACCAGATCAGAGCGTGGCACAAACCTATGTTACTGGCTGGCTGCGTAATGAAGGGGGTATTTCATAGGTCAGAAAAGAAGTCCAGTCAGTGAATTTGTGAAGCTACATCCATTTAGATGGCTAGGACATGTCATACGCATGCCGAACCGCTGTCTTAATCGATGAGCGATGTCAGCTAAAGTGGGATCGGGTCGAAAAAGAAATCAAAATCTGGCATAGTCCATGAAGTCTGTCTGTTGGTGTGAGGCGTGTGGGGGAAGGACGTAAACTGCTTGACCGTCGTCCTTGAGATGCAAGAAATCAAAGGGTAGAGACTGTTGGTGATATGGCTAAAAATCGTTCTCAGTGGTGTAGGTGCATTTACTCTTCGACATCTTCCAGGTCCACCAAATCCTCAATATTCTTTCCTCTTCATACTTCCATTTATTGAAGTTTTGTTCCTTACTTTAAGTATTTTTCGGTGCTTTTAGTTAATCGGTAGCTTGAACTGTGCAGGGTTTTACCTTGATATTTCAATCAGTAAGATGATAGAAATGTGATCATAAGTACTTTTGGTTGGGGACTGTTAGCGGTATGTAGCAGTCGGCTGTAGTGGCATATACGCATTCACACATTGTTCATTTTAGCTACTCCTTCTAAGTCTTATAGTGCCATTTCACTGAGTAGTAATTACTACTCGGTAAAGATTAATTTGTTCCACTACGTAATAAGTGCGTCGATGGTTCAGCGGTAGAGAGCTGGCCAACCATGCACGTGGTCCGGGGTTCGAGCCCCGACCGGCGCACATTTTTACCTCCCTGAGCCGGTCACAATCCCGACAAAGAGGGAGGGTTGGGCGTTAGGCTAGCAACTTCAACCCGCATAAACAGAACTGCTACTGAAACTTCAAAGCTCTAGTTTGAAGCCCTATGTTCCACTGAGAACGTAAAAGAATAAAAAAACTACGTAATATGACTAGGTCGTGATGAAAATACCTAATTATTTAGGACATATAACTGTCGTGAGACCGAACCACTATAGCGTTTAATAGAATACAAGCGCTGGACAACACTCAGGCCTTATAAGGCCTGAATTATAATTTACTTTTATTGATTTGAAAGTATTTGCCGAAAAACTCAGCTGTAAAAGTCTATTGATAATATTAGATGTGAAAACTTCAAAAGACAGAAATTTGTGGTTACTTTTCAGCCTGATATTTTTGAGAGAAAACTGGGTTGCTTGCTGATTTTACTCATATCTCAGTGGACTCTAGGACCCTTCGAACTTTAATACTGGAAGATATATAAGTGAGTCGGAAGTTGTTGCTAATCGGTGAAGCATTCTAAGTAACGGAATACTAGAAGCAAATACGAATGAATTCTACTTAGAGTACAAACAGATACTTAATGCTTATTATAACACACCTGAATCCATTATCGCTAAGGTAAACCAAAGGGTCGAATTCCCGCAAAATACCTTTCAAGGTCACATTCCAATATCACTCAGACAAACTTCGAGGTTTGAACATAAAAAAATTAAATTACCTGCCAATCCCCTTCTGATGAATATTTTCAGTCATTTGATACATCTTTGAATATATCAACATCAGCTGTATAAGTAACTGGTGACATAAGTAAATGCCTCATTTTGAAAGGTGGTACTCTTAAAGTATAAATTTCGTTCATGATCCCCGTACTATGTCATCTAAGATGCCCTAAAGTCAAAGATAAAATATTTGACGGTACAATTTTGTTCAAAATTATGAAAGCCTATAGTTGTTGGTTACGGCAACGGTAAGGTTATTCCTTGAAGATTTACGTCTTTGTATAGTCTGTGTTCCAGGAACCTCCTGGATAGCTGTACTTTCGTTCGTCTTTAGTTCAGTAACTACCTGCATTCTCCCGTTCACTCGAAAGAACTCATGGCTTAAAGGAATGATAAAAATCTCACCTCACTGATCGAAGCTTATACACTATCCATTCGGTTCTCGAGTCACTCATTGCCATTGTATTATTATCGCCCTTGGTTCCGAATAGAAGATAAGGCACCAGCAGCACTTCTGCATTTTATTCCGTTCGCTTAAGTCCTCTTTAGATAGCTGCACGATTGTCTTTAGGCTCTCATCATGTCCTCTCACGATCTACTCCACGTCACCCTCGGACACCCAGCTTGAAATTTCCCATTCGCGTTCCAATCGAGGGTCTGTAACGCCTTCTAAACTGACAGTCTCTTCAGTTTCTGACCGATAAATCTCAATTTCCTTTGTCATATTTGTTAGGCAATATGTTCTTGGCGGTTTTTCCCCAGATTTTCTTGTTTCTAAGTCTTCACGGCCATATGATATTCAATGTGGAGCCAGACGAAGCAGTAGTTGATGAAAATCTTCAGCCACCTGTTGGAAATACTTCCTTTTGACTCATGCACCAAGCTTCTGACCCATAAAGAAGAACTGACTGACCTATCCTTTTTGCTGAAAATCCGAATCTTCTATATACCTAGTGCTGAAGATTTCCCAACTGATTTCAGGATGATGAAAGTTTGTCCTTTCTATTCGGTCCTAGTTTTGACATCTCTACCAGTGTCGTTAGCTTCAGTTGAGACCTGAAGGGACCGACCTTTTCAAATTTCTTGCACTGACAGTGATTGCTATTTGTGCCTGCCGTTGTTGGTTGGTTATATTCACTACCCTCATCTTCTCTATGTTTGCTTGAAGTCTTGTCTTCTCTGGTTCTTCTGACAACTTGTTGGCTTTCACGTGTATGTCTTTGAGTTTAAATGTCAGTAGCCATAAACTGTCTGCGATGTCCATATCGTCAAGAGGATTCTTATCGACCCAACGTATTCTGGCTCCCAAGTACGGTGTTCCGCACAATCCACTTCACTACATTTGGGAATATCACCGGTGATAGTATGCTACATTGTCCTGCCTCCATCTTCACAACAAAATCTTCGCTGAGTTTTTCTTTGTGGTTCACGTGGCACCGTCGAATAGCTGTTGAATGAATATGATAAGGATTTGGGGTACCCATTATTGTTGAAACAGTTTTCCAAAGACTTCACAGTCAACTTTGTCGCGGGCCTTTTTCGAAGTCAATGAAGATGGGATAAAGATTTAACTGTCATTCTATGCTCTGTTCGATGATGGCTAAACGTAGAGTCGCGACTTGTTCAGAACATGAATTTTTTCTCGTTAAATCAGCTTGTTCTTGTTGGAGTTCTGCATCGAGTACATCTTTTAGTCTCTTCAGGATGATGCGACTTTGCATTTTACTTGGCGTGGACGACAGCATTCTTCTACTATAATTTTCACAGGGGGCAAAGTCACCCTTCTTCATTGGTTCAACGAGGTAGCCGTTCTAACAATCAGTAGGTACGTTTCCTTCCTTCCAAACTTTTTACAGTAGTCATAACAATACAATTATTCACCTTATTCCGAAACACTACTTATGATATATAGTGAAATTCTCAGCATTTGATACAATATTGCATCCTATTTACTTGACAACAGGAAAAACAAAATAAAAAATAATATTACAGGCGTGATTGCACCAGCTTTTTGATATATGAAGTGACAATAAAGTCAAAAATGCACAAAAGTGTGAAACTATGATAATGTTAGTAGCTAAAATTAGAAGCGATATAAAATAGTATCACCATAGATTACAAATAGGAGAGAATAAAAGAGATACTTCTTCGCCAATAACGTTGTAAGTCGTAGGTTTGACGTTTAACACCATCTCTACCACATAAAATGCGGCCAAGTGGAGCGACATTGAGTTTTTGCACTTGGGTGTACTAGCATATAATCTCTTATTAGGACTTTTATTCTTATCTTATGAGGTTTGAGGGGAGGTTGAGAATAGGGAGAGGGTTGGGAGTCAGACAATATGGACTGCTATTCTGCTGTTGAGATTACTCTTCTATATACCTCCTGGTCGAGGTCGAACAACCCAACATCTAAACTGAAATGACCATTTAAGTAAATTCAAAATCAAATTCCATGAACGATCCGATGCAACCACTTGAAAACGCTGGCTAACATTCTGTACAAGGAGTATTCTTGATCTGATATAAAGAAACAACTGGTTTTCAAGTAGTTTTCAATGTATTACTCAACTTACATGTACAGTCTGCCATGCTGACGCAAATGGTGCAAATGGATAGTTCTAGAATCGACCTCGGCCCCATTTGATGCAGTAAAACAATCTAACATGACCTTATCTAATTTTCGTATCAAAAAACAAATTTCTTTCCTATTATAAAACTACTATTAGACTGCTGAAAAAATGGAATAAATACATCACTGAACTCAAAATAATACATCAATAGACTTTAACTCAATTATGCTGTTCTTAACAAAGTTATATAGGAGAATTGACTTCAAGCTTTATTTTTCCCAGATATTTGTATTACATTCATCTGAAGTCTGGGTTTTTTGTTAATGCGAAGACAATATTTCTATATCTCTTTATGTGTTACACAGACAGTCTATTTTGCAGACTGTTCTGACTGACTCTAATGTTAGAAGGAACAAACAAACTGTAATTTATATAATAACTTATCCATGCCTGTACAATCGGTATGTTCCTGCATAAACAGGAATAAATAAATAAACTTCTGGCGTGAGTTCAGGTGGCTGCATTAGTAACGATCTGACCTAGTGGTTCAACACTTGCTCTACTGACAACCTTTAAAACCTCACGCAATATGACATAGTCTTTTTCGAGTAGCCCAGTAGAGACTAAGAGGATGAGAAAAGTACGGTAGGTAAGATATAAGAGCTATTAAATTGTAAAGTAAAGGTCGGGTGATTGTCTGAACTTCTTCGGGTAGTAGGTTAGACGGAACGTTATCTTATAAATCCACAAGATTTTGGACGACCAAGAAAGGTCAGGAGAAAGAACTATTCCAAGGTATTTAGCAAGTGACCTCTTTTCTGTTTCATTATCCTCTATTGTGGACGGAGCATTTCGTGTGGATCATGTTTATGCCTGAAGGTGAAGTTAACTGTCTGACATATGGAGGGCTTACAGGTAAGACCATTTAACTTGGACCACTGTCTAATGTCTAATGGAAAAGCTGTTCGGTTTGAAATAGTCAGATCGGGACGTAACTAGCAACATGACAGTCAGATTACCGGCGCACTTAATGATGTCGATTTGATTCGAGACAGGTCAAATGAGAAAAAAGAGGAGGACAGAGAACGCCACTTTGAGGGACTATAGCCTTGGTAAGCAAGGCAGAATAAGATTTGCCTTTATATTTAATACAATGCACTTTTCCAGAGAAATAAGAATGCTTACAGGTAATAGTTCATGACCAGGTTAGTCTGATGGAGAGCTTATTTAACAAAAAGCATTTGGGTACGGAGTCAAAAGATGTGTAGCCAATTAAGTTACGTAGGACACATTTGATCCTTTTCTCTAAGAAGGAAACAATACAATGACGTAAAACAAGAGCAGCTGTTCAAAAGCAAATCGCGTGATGTCAGCAATTTCGCTGCGGTCTCTGGGGCCGTTTCCAATGATTCAGGAGGGATTCTGAATTGACCTGCTGCCTTCACGGAACTCAATGGCTTGATTGAGTTCAAGAAATTCGCTTTTTGTCTCCTGATAGTTGTATGCATGGTGTTGGCGTTATTTCTGAACAACTTGCAGATGATGGTAGATTCAAGAGCCCTTTGAAGTGATCAGCGTTTTGCTATCTTTGTCTCTCCTACTTGCTAGTTACGTTACTTGAACCATGTTTCATGCGTTTAATCTGTGTTGGTCTTTTTCTAGATAGAGAGCTAGTTATCGGACATAATGTTCTAAGGTCTCTTATGCCTGTGGCCCGTCCTGCTCCAGTTGACAGAATGTCGTAGAATTTCCGCCCGTAATTCCTAGCACTCTTCATTTCTTTATTCAGTATATTGTAGATTACACTCAACTTCTCCCCCTGTGGTCCATCTTTTCATTGGTTCTTCTTCTGTTTCACCATCCCCCCTCCTTCCATTAGCGACCTGTGCCTGTTAAGAGCCATTCCTTGTCTTGTCTCTTCTTTCTTTCTAGAACAGTTCAACACGTTTCCTTGGATATAGCTTTCAGAGAGTTCCAATGTTCTACCATGCAGGTTTCCTCATTGATAGTGTCTCCAACTTTGCTCTGATGGTTTCAGTGATGTCCCTTGTAGTTTTTTCCTTCAGTTTCTGAATGTTGAACTTGAATTACAGTCGTCTGACTCCATTTGTTTTCATGAAGGTTCCTTGAACTAGATGATGGTCTGAGCCCACATCTGCTCCCCTTCTCTACTTTGTGTCCAGCAGGGTGCGTCTCAACTTCCTTGATATTAAGATGAAATCTGTCTGGTTTGTGGTGTTCATTGGACGGAATCTATCTTGCTTTGTGAATATTCTTGTGCTTGTACACGCTGCCTTCGATCACCAGATTATTGAAAGCACATAAGTCTGAGAATAATTCCTCGTTCTCATTCATTTCTCCGAGCGAGAGC